TGTGTACAATGTGGCACCTACCGGCGTCATAGAGTCGAGGGGGTTGCTGCACAGTTGCTTCAAGTTACTGCTGCGAGCCAAGACGTAGCTGCCAAGGCACGTTTTGCAACCATTTCTCACTCTGGGGAGCAGGCATGCAGCAGCCGCTACCGCTGCAGACAGCGATCCTCTGCGCACCTCCTTCTTCCGGCTGCGCTGGTTGAGATAAGTGAGAAGATGCAGATAGGGACCACACCATCGACAAATCAAACAAGTACGCATACCACCTGGTAGACAGCCAGTCGGGTTGCGTGCGGTCGACGTTGAAGACGTGACCGTAGCCGTGGTTTGGATGCTTACCTGCCTGGGTACCGGGAACGTATCGGTCGACGACGACCAAGGGCTGGAACAGACAGACCGGGACTGCCTCCTTCAGCGCTCCAGTGGAAACGACGCCGTATCGCACCTATCGCAAGCCACCCCCCAGACACTTGCTCTCAAGTCGACCAGGACTGGGCCTGAACCATGGAAGCAGCATCCATGCAGCCAGACCCTTCACTGCCTCGCGCCCCCCGTCCACTCGGCCAGTCTTGCACTCCCCGCCCCTCGTCCATCTCATCGGATCCCTGTCGCCCTTTTTTTATCAAGGCAAGAAGAGCCACTGCCCAGTGACGGATACCGCTGTACCGCTGTACCGCTGTACCGCTCGAGGTACCTTACTGCTCGCTTTCTCCAATCTCTCCAATCTCCATTCTATTTAGACTTTGGCCCTTCTTAAGGTAAGTAGTCCACGGCACCTTGCCTTCATACGTATCCCCGTTCCTGTCCATACCGTACTTAACCTTCCGCAGTGCTCTCTTCAATTCGAGTCGTGCACCCTCTCCGCGACCTTCTTCTGCCTCTCTGCACATAATTCCACCCGTACAATAGACCGTGCCATATTTCTTCTCCCTGCACCTGCGCATCCGCTTCGAATTGACGGCCGAGTCACCGTCATTGCGTCATCCCAGAGCACCACCGACCCCGGCCGCTTATCTCTGCCACACCCAACCAGTCCCAACTCCTCGGGGGCACTACCAGACCTGACTTAATACAAGATTCCGCGCCGTCCTTGAAAAACAGCCAGCCCAGCCGAGCGCACACCCTTTCTGTCAACCCTTCACCACACGCAATTGGCGACGATCCCCCTCGAACAAGAGGCGAGAATTTCAGGGCTATGAAATACGGCGAACAGCTCGAGCAGGAATCTGTCCCAGAATGGAGTCTACGTACGTTGCCCCGTCGATGCACTACCGGCCCACCACCCAATTGGCATGTGAAGACCTTCCCGACTGACTGGAGGCTTTCACAGATAACGTCGACTACAATTCCTTAAAACACGAAATCAAGGTACACACGTCACGCGACCAGGCTACCGCTATCGCCATCCCGGGCCACCAAGATGCCTCCCTCAAGCGGTTCGAGGACAACCTCTACAATGAGCTGTGCCAGCAGCATGATCGAGTCGACCTTTTCGTGACGAGCAAAGCGGACGAGATTACGAGACGGATGCGTAGGTTTTTGGGATAAGCAAGTATGCATGCGTGCGAGTCCAATTGGCTAACACGAGTGCTGCAGAACATGTCTCCGATCAGGTGCAGAAGCTCGTGGTCAAATGCGCCGAGGATGGTGGCCAAGTTTCCCTGAAGCGACACCGCCGATTCGCCAAGTACGAAAGGGACCTGCTGCGCTGCGGCGAGGACATCCTCGCTCTTGCCCGCTTTATCAATGCCCAGATTGTCGCCTTCCGCAAGATCACCAAGAAGTACAAGGTAAGCTCCCTTCGTCTCACAATGCGCCGCCTTATCTCCCGCTGACAGCGAGTCAAGAAATGGACAGGGTCACCCACGCTCGGCGCGCGGTTTCGCGAAAACGTTCTGGCCAACCCCAAGAGTTTCACCCGCCGAGACTTCAACCAACTTCAAACCCGTTACGAAGAACTTCTCAACACTCTGCGCACTTCTACTCCTCAGTTGAGCGAGCCTAGTTCGCCTTCCTCTGACGGAAAGCCTAACATGTCCCGTAGAGGGTCTGCCAACGATTTCTTCTCGCCGCTGCCTCCCGCGCGGCAACCGCCCCGTCAACCTGTCCAGCCGCAACAGCACTACTGGAACGAGTATGATGATGGCAGTGAAGGCGGAGGACCCGAAGACGAGTACGCCGTCTACATCAACCCCGACGACGACATAAGCTTCCCCGGCTTGGACTCGATGCGCGCGATCCTCTCAGCACCCTTCCGCCACGCTAGGACGTGGTTTTCGAAGCGGGACACGCCCGAAGGACAACGTCTGCTCGGAAACGGTCCTCTGTTGGAGAGTTATGGCGGCATCTCGCCGCTCGGCACGGATACGGACGACGACTATGCAAGCTCCGACGGCATCCCAGCATCAGGATATGCTGCTCACTACGCCGCATTGCCGAGCATCAACGAGCAACATGTGAGGCTGTACCGCGAGCGCGTGCTGTTCTGGAGCACCATCGGCTGCTTCTTCATGTCCTTTCTCCTTTTACTCGTCGCTGGCATCCTTATCACGACCGGTCGTCACAAGATGCGCGTCGAGGTCGACGCCGGTGTGACGGTCGGCGTTGTCGCTTCTCTATTCAGCGCTTGTATCGCCCTGGGCATGACGATCTACCGCCGCGACCCTATTGGCATGTGGCAGCGCGTGGCAGTCTACAGCAGCTTCATCGCTGCCTGCGTGCTCAACGGCATGCTCCTAATCTTGGTGGTGGGGAACGCGGCATAACGACAAAGCCGGCACCCATCACCGCTCGACCCTTTTTTGGTCGGGTTACATTTTTTTTATGTCTTTTCTAGGTTTCCATTGCATTGGCGGCGGGGTGCGATACGGAGAAAGGGGTCTTTGATTTTGTGGGACAGGCGGGGTGAACTGAAAGAAGAGGAATTTGAAGCAAATTTCCCGAATGGCGTTCCGAGTTTTCTGTCTGTTTTTCAACAAACACCGGCCGCATCACTGCTTCTTTGGATACCACACTACTACTACTACTAAAACCACTACTAGAATCGGGCGGGTTTTTAGTCTCGAAAATCTTTCCACACAGCTAGCTAAGAAAGACTCTAAACAGCTAACTAAAAAATCGAACTACCAAAAAACACTTGCAACGTCCGCCGTGATCCGGTGATATCCGTCCCAGTCGCTGTCATGGTCGCTTTTTCTTGTATGTTTGCCGTGCCTTTACGTGTCATGGTCGTTGGTGTGTCAATGGACGTTGAAACAGCGAAGAGCCCGGCGAAGCGACGTCTTGGCCTCGCTTCGGCATCCCACTCGCGTGGACTTGGCTTGGTTAGATTGAGTTCTCTCCGAAAAAGGCCTTGCTTCCCTTTCGCTATTTCGACGACATGTCATCTCGCCCTGCGACCCCCAAGATGCGACTGGAAACTAGATGGTAAAGCACCAAAATAAATATTGCCAAAGAGACAGAGACACTTCCCTGTCTTATCGCTCAGCCGCATTCGGAATAAAGCACACACATGAATCTACAACATTCCTTTGAGGTGGCGGCAGGCAGATCGGGGTGATGGCAAACAAACAAAAGAGCTGTTGGTATCCCCAGCCAAGACGAGAATGTCTCAGACACAGACCGACTCGGATCTTCGATTGATAACGGACCCCTCATTGGATTGTGACATTCACCTACTGGAACGCGCCAGCAAGGCAAATAATTGATCTCTCCGTCGTTGCGTGGTAGCACAGCGGTAACGCAAACTAAGACACTCATCTCGAGGTTGATCACGGCAGATGATGCGGCGATTGCGGGGTTCGCTTTCGTCAGCGGTCACCGACCTCACACAGGCAATCTCACGAGTACGAATAAAAAGGCACGGAAGAATAAATGGGGTGCAGCGTTTCGTCAGAAAATGGCCTGAGCTGCTTGACGTGCAGAACTTGAGTGCACCTGCTCGGACGGGTTTATAAAACCATGCCACCTCCTCTCGCGGGGGCTGCAGAACGTCAACCTTCCGTCGATCGTGAACCTCGTTTTGAAGTTTTGGCTCCTTCTGCAGACTCAGCCTTCAGCCTTGGGCGTCTATCACAAGCTTACTTGTGCACCATGTGCTGACCTGCAGTCTCGACGTGCAGGAGTCCGTGAGGTGGTCATCTGAGTGATCCTCTGCCCACATGCGAAACTGAGGCTCTTCCACAAGATAATCCGAGCCCGAAGCTTTCCGGATTCCTGCGGATGCTCGAATTGTGCAGCCAAGAGTTCTCCGTGCGCCTCCACAATGGCCCTGCAACCAGCGCCATCAACCGCCTGCGTTGCATTTCCCTGCAGCAGCTCGCACAGTTGCGCCTTGTCAAGAGAAACAGGCCTCGTCGCTATCGCTGTCGCATCGTTGGTAAGCAGCTTTGCCACAAGGCCTTTGCCCGACCACACGCAGGTACTCAGCTGCACGAAACATATCGGGCATCTCAGCGCACAGGTGATTTCCCCGCCTCACTTTCGACAGCAATTTTTGCCGGTCTCCGACGATAGCAAGTGGGGGCTCGGAAAATCCTGCTTCAGGTATTACGGTTCGTCGCAACCAGCATCTGTGTAGCCGGGACTCAAGCGCTTGGTGAATGACGGAGTATCGACGACACTCCAATTATGCGACGGTGCTTGTGACCAACACAGATCATCAAGTGGCAATTGCCAAGTCGAAAGCCGCTTCCTCGACGCCTCATCTTTGTCAGCTTCGTCTCCAATTAATCTTTCAGACCAGACGTTGCCCCCCTCGCCCGTGTATGCTTGCAAGGAGGTCAATGCCGTCTTGTGGCCGTGGTCAAACGCCAAGGCCGATAAATGTAGCCCGATAAACATGGGACTATTAACCCGGCAGGTCTGGAACCGAACTCGTCGAATAATCGGATCTCCATGGCCTTCAGTCGGAATATGGGTAGTGTCCGCAAGCCCTACTTCCGAGCGTGCACCTGGTAGAGTTAGCTTCGAAACCGGAGAGACAGTTGACGCAGATTAACTCACTTTCTGCACATCGTGGCTCCGCCGCTTCTAGCAGCCTGGACTCTATCAAACTCCTCCAGCAGCCAGCGGCAACAGCCCCATCTCCTTGCCGTGTTCTCCACACTCTGCCTGACTTCTGCTAGTTGGCCTGGCCCATCGTCCAGCAAGGCTTCGTAATGGAACAGAAGTTGCATCGTATGGTACTGTGCATAAGGCCACACCGGCGCACAATGCTCCAAGACCTCATCCTGGTTGGTGTACGCGTTGAAAATGCCTCTCGAGCCATCGATGACCAGGCCAATGGTGAAATTGATGCCAGCGACGGCTTTCTTCATTTCCATGTCTGTCTCGGGGTCGCGCGCCGGCGCGTCCGGATGGTTGGCCGAATACATGAAGGAGTAAAAGAGAAGGCAGAAGAGACTACTATATGTAAGTATTGATTTATAGGTCAGATAAGGGACAACTAACCTTGCGCAAAGGGCGTAAGTGTTGAGGTTCTCGCCCCATGTCTCGGATCGCGTGATGAGAGCTTCGCAGAGGTTGCGTGTGGCTGTCTCCAATTGCACAAATGAGTACACGCTTGGAGGCTCTTCCTGCTCGGCGCTGGCCACCTCCCAATGGCAAGCGTAGCCAAGGAGAATTGCCGCTTGACACGACCTTTGAAACGCGCCGACTCGCACTGAAGCCGGGATGGTCACTGGATACCGCTTGACCATCTTCACTGTTTTATTCTGTTCAGTATCCCAGAGGTGGTGTTCGGTTGGGAGCAGGTCGTCTTCTGCGGGCATGTCCATCTGGAGCGGCGTCCACAGGGTTGCAGATTGCTCGTGAGAAATCCTGAGCCGTCAGTGATCGATATTGGGGCTCGTCGGGGATACGGCACGCTTACTTGTCCATGATGACGAGAACCCACCAGAGGGCTCGCTTCTGCTCTTCCTCGGGGTCGGCAGGCAAGTCCTCTTCCTCCTTGACGTACTTTCCAGGCTTCAAATATAAGACCTTGCCAATCGCAGCCGCCTCACCAAAAGTCTGGTAGCAGCGGGAGATGTTACCGTGGCCGAGCTCATAGAGAGAGATCAAGACGCCCGCTTGGATGTGCTCAATCTTGGCTTTGCTGAAGGCTTTCCTCAGAATCCATATCCTCTTGGCTGATTGATACAGAGGATGCTCAAGCATGGCAGTCGGGGAAAACTCGTCGCAGTTCCAAATGGTCAGCAGGTGGATGCACAAGACCATGAGGGCCAGATCAACGTCGTCAGGGTTCGTCTCGAGTTGAGCGGCAGCGACCCGTCTCTCCCAGACTTCGGGGTGGATGACGGCCAGCCATGTGTTGATTGTACCAAAATACATCGTGACTGAGGCCTTCCAGTCGACGCCGCGGCTGGTCAAAAGCTGCATGATCTGGCTGGCGGTGAAGTCGACCTGGTTGAGCCACTCGAAGGCGGAGCCCGGATCGCCAGCCGCGTTGTACGGCTGCTGGGCCGCGACGCCATGGTCGACAATGGTCAGTGATGGCGGGTTGACGACAAAGTCATAGCAGCAGTTGGTGGCGAGTCTGTTGGCTGCGTCAAAATTGACTGCGCTTCACTGCATTTTTGGGGGCGTTGACTCACCTGGTGCATCTCGAACAGGCGGGCAGGCCCTTGTCACATTTCTTCTTCGTCCTCGTGCATTTTTCGCAGGCCCGGTGGGCGCGTTGCGGGGCTGCTTCCGCGGGGGACTGGTGATTCGAGGAAGAAGGCGATTGACGATTTGTGTAACGCGAACCCGGGACGACGTTGTCCGAGTCTTCGGACGGCGGCGTGACGGCGAGCCGCTGCAGCTGCCTCGACGACATCGCAGTCTCTCCGTATGCCGGTTGGTTCCCCTTGGCTTCCGTGCCGTGCCGTGTGTGCCGCGACGTCGTGGGAGACAAAGTGAGGCGAACCGTCGTTGGTGGGGGTGGCGGCGAAGCGAACGACGAAACGACGACTCAAAATTGGCGCAGAAAGTCGGCAGAGTTTGCGAGTGACCAGAAAGACAGAAAACGAAGAGCAGAAACAGACGGGGGAAAGAGAATACAAAAAGCTCGACGACGGTGAGTTTTGGCAGAGCCCGGGTCAAAGACAAGAGGTGCCGCAAATGGCGGGCAATGTCTTGCTTCCTCCACCAAAAAAGTGCTGGACAGCTCTGCACAGCAAACCAAGAGGCATGCAGGAGAGGTGCACAATGACGATCCGATCGAAGCAACGGCAGCAGTAGCAGCAACAGCACCAGCAACTGGCAACAGCAATTCCCGCCAAGCTTCCGTTATGAGATGAGCATCGCTGGGCAATCGGGCTGGGCTGTGAGGATTATTAAGGTAAGGTAGGAGCACTTGGCTACCAGTCACAGCAATTGTGAGCTGGATCTAGTGCCGGACTTGCTCCACAGGCCCAGACTCTCCCGTCATGCTTGCCCCCTCCTTTGCCATTGAGAAAAGGGAGCGTAGAGGCAACCTGGGCGGATCCCTTCTCGATAGAGCTTTAATCCCGGCCCCGCTGCAACACTGCGATAGAGGGCCACTGAAGACTGTTGAGCTTGCCCTGAACCATTGGGCATGGGACTGAGGGAAAACACCACACCAACTCGAACAAGACAGACACCACCGCAAGGACGTCCCCTGCAAAAACCTCACCAGGTGCAAGTAATTCCCGTTCTCTGTCGGATCTTCCTGTGCAACATGGCAACCGCTCCCCAAGGCCTGACAGACGACGGTTGAAGGCGTGTGTAACTTGAAATAGACGGAATAGACGCCCACCATCGTGTATGCCGCCGGATGCATACTAATTTCTGACCTTGCGCAACGTGGGACCAAGCAAGACGGGTGATGCCACCAGCTGCCATCATCTCATTGCACTCCATCCTCGATAATGACGATTCGCCTTTCCACATGGCTAATGTTGCGCCCAGAGCTCGATGGAGCCGATTGCGGCCAATATCGCCTCCTCAGACACGGCGCACATTCCAGCAGAGGCTAGGCCGATCCAGGACCTCGGATTTCGAATCTTCCTTGCTGCCAGATCGTCAAAGACGGATTCCAGATGAAAGAATAGAACATGCTCAAATGCTTCTTCAGCGACGCCAAATGTCTTGCCTGCGGGGACGCGTATTGACACGCGCTTGGGCCCTCTTTCCTGCCCAATGATCAATCGATGTGAGTTAGTCAGCAGCTGTCCTCCACGGGCAAGACCACCGTTCGTCCCGCATCCGTCCTAGACCCTTCGCCGCAACACTCAACATCCCTGGCACATGTCGTTTGCACGCCTTTTGTCTGCCCGCAGAATCCCACCACACCACGACTGCGTTTCCGAATGAGGCGACTGATATCACCGATTGCATCCCAAATAAACCAAACCCACGTCGTCAACGCATCCTTCTTTGCTGTGTGTCTCGGCGTAACACCAAGCCAGCTGCAGACACAAGGAATAGCGCCATGCACGTCTTACCACCCGTTTATTCTGGGGGAAGAAGACCTTCCTTCAACCTTCCATTTCCGACCCCTCGAGCCAATGACGGCACCCATCCTCCCCGAATCCGGCCCGCACAGGAAGACGACTTGCAGCTGTCAGCCCAAAGGCACCCCTACACCTTATTCTTGGCTCTGCTGCCCCTTCTGTAGGGCTGACGTCCCAGGGTGAAAATGGCTTCATCCTCGACCACCTGCCGCTTCCAACCGACGTTCCACAGCATCTGCGGCAACTCCCTCTCCGCAACCAGCTCGATATCTGACAAACCGCCACACCGCCGCCGTTGATACTGCCGCTTGTTCTTGCGCCTATTCCGCCACGCTCAAAGTAGCGGCATTCCACCAAATCCCGAAGACCAAGCAGATCCCGCGTCCCAAGAATCCGGAGCCGCCAGTCTGTGCAACCTTCGCCATCCGTCCCGTCTTTCCGTCGTGGGGAAACAGCCCACGAGCAAGGTTCAGGTCGGCTCGAGGTGGATAGCAGTCATATGAATCACATGTGGACAGCTTGAAATTCTGCCCAACCATACTCTGTGTTGGTGCCGGGAGGATTTGGGGGCCAAAGTGGTTATTGGAGAATGTCAGCCGGCGGTTGGCCGAGATGACTGGCCGGCGGCCGTGTTTCAACCCACCGGCATCGGCTTCGGGACGAAGTTTGAAATCTCCGGCTCGGCAAGCCGAAGCCGTCCCCAGACTTGGCATCGTGGGAACCCTCAACCGGTTATCTTCCCCCAAAACAAATCTTTCTCCGCTGCGATCTTGACCGAGGCACAGAGTAAATTGTACACTATCGCGAGATAAGAGGCAACTGCCGCCTTCCGTGTCCGGGCCGGCCCCGTTGTGATGCAGTCTGCGGCGCGCCAAAATGGGACTTTGGGGGAACTTTTGGAGAAGCAGTTCCCCGCGTTGCGCCTTGCCGGTTGAGTCATCCGCCCTGAACTTGACAAGCCAAGGATGTTCATCCGCCCTTAAATTGGCCTGCACAGTCCTTTCACCGTACAGGCCCGATGATACCGCTAAATACAAATCCTTCAGATTCTGATTCGACGAAGGAACGCACTCCTTGCTTCTAGCTCACCTATCAAGTCAATCAACATCTGAATGATGCCATTGAGGGCAAGTGGATTTGGATTACCTCATTGGCCAATTGCATGCAAACCAACCTTCTCCACCATCCGCAAGCCGAGGACGCCGTCTTGGAGCTTGCCTTAGTTCACTCGCATCATCGGTAATTCCGCCTCAATCTCTGATCTATTTCTTGCATCTCGCCGCTGGCAATCAGCCACCATCCTACACCAATCCAGATCTACGCCGCAAATCGCAATCATGACCGAGCCGGAATTCCGGATCCGAGAAGGCACTTCCGCCGATGTGGCAGCAGCCGCCGAGATCTTCAGGGCCGCCTTCGCCGATGATTGGATCTTCAACAAGATGCACCCTCACAGAAAAGAACACCCAGAAGACTTTCGAGCATGGGCACACCGCTTCTTCTACGCTCGCTACTGGGGCCCCGAGCAGCAGCTCTTCTATGTCCTCACGGTTCCCGACGCCGCATCGTCGTCCGGCGAGCGGGTCGTCGCCTTTGCGTGGTGGCGCCGGCCGTACCCCACCGAAGCCGAGAAATCTGCCCACGAGGGCTGGTTCACCGTCCGCGGCTGGCTGAAGCCCGTGCTTCTGGGCATCAACTCCTTGGCGGGTTATCTGTGGCCTCCAAAGTCGAGGAATTTGGACATGATCGATGCCTTTGACGACTCGCACATCGCCAGCGACCTCTTGATCAATGACCCGGAGCACCCCAAGCGGAAGACGGCATGGTATCTTTCGACGCTGGGCGTTCTGCCCGAGTGCCAGGGCAAGGGGTACGGATCGCTTCTCGTCAGGCACAGTCTGCGCCGCGTTGACGAGGAGGGCGTGCCGGCGTGGCTTATTGGCCTTAAGGGCGTGGAGCCGTTTTATGAGAGGTTGGGTTTTGAGGTGAAGGGGCGGGCGAACGTTGGGCGGCTGGCGGACTGGGATGGTGGTTCCATCATGTTCAAGGAGTGAAGCCCTTTAAATATCTCTGAAGATATAGATGATGTTATGCAGACAGGAACGAGATGATGAGACTATGGCTATGACGACGACGAGGAATAGGGTCAATATCACTTCTTTTGGCCCAACTCTGGACCTCGCTCACGACCATCCATGATAGACGAAAGTATTTCTTTTACTTAAAGATATGTTTGCTGCTCAATGAAGAGATATGCGGTAATGCAAAGCCTCCATCATATGGTACATCTCGTGAAACTCTGGGTGGGAAATCAACATCTCTATATTCTACGAGCCACCGCGTTAGATCATCAAAATTCAACCCCGCAGATCTTTCATCATCGGACTGATGTCAACGATAATCGCCTGCTACCCCCCTTTGTATTTAATCATGCCCTTGACTATTGATACGGGAACAAATATGTGAGCTTGAATCGGTACTTGGTAATGCAAACACTCAAAGCGGCCCACATGAAGCCCGACAGCATAGGGGTTTCCGTGCTTCACCGTGGACACATGTACCACCGCGTCGTTGGTCTAGTTTATCTCTGTCGCTGGGTGTATTCAAAGTGAAATGTCCCGAAGCGGCTCCTAAAGAATCAACAATAAACTTTCAGATATTGTCTGAGTGACGTTGAGGTGTAACGAAGGGCTTGATAAGACACCGCCCAGGTGATAAGACACGACAATGAAGTTGTCTTGAATTTTCTTGTCTGGGCAGCTGAAGCGTCAACTGAGAGGGGGGCCATTTATACTGAGACTTCTTTGGCGGGGCAAGCTCCAGTTGTGTTTCCTTTCGGCATATAAATTATGAGAATTGAGATGTCTCGGTTGATTTTCTTCTTAAACAGATCCGCAACAAATTCCTTCTCCCAGCGAGGCCCATGATTGCTTGCTACAACCCTCTCCGTAGTTCATAAAGACGCCTTCAGTATCAGATCAGGTCAGTCGATTTCCCAAGTTTGTGGTTTCACGTCAGTCTTATTGTCCTTGTGTTCATAGCGGTATACATAGAAGCCAGCGACGAAGGGTTTACTAAGACAAGCTCAACTATAGGTATCAAGTGCTCAAGGGCAGCCCGATGAAGTACCAAGCATCATAACTTACCACACCAAGAGCCTCTAGGATTGCAACGAAATTAGGCCCAAGTTCGATTCGCTCGATATATCGAAATTAAGAAGAAAGGCTGTCTTAAATAACTTTTCAAGAGGATGCTTCCGTGTTGCTGGCAGGTAGTGTTTAATTGTTCTTATCGTTGCATGGCCTCTGAAACCGGGCAAATGTGTTGCGGCGTGGTACTTTTGCGCGTTGATCAGAAGTGA